CTGTAACTGCAGGAAACGCTGTCTTGCTCATGTTTGCGTATAAATTAAAGCCAGTCTCTGAACGTTTGCTGAACGCCAGACTATCGTACACTGTTGGACAATCAGAAATTTAAAAGAACTCTGCGAAGGCAAGACTGTCAAAGGTAAATCGAGGAACTAGTCAACTTCAAAACAGTGTGCGGCGTAGTTAATTCCCAAAAGTGAATTTAAGGCAAGCTAATAGAACTTTGCGCCACTGACCTAAAGTAGCCGCCATCCATCCTTTTTTTCTTTTTCTAGATTGGCTTAGATGACCTTTCTAGTAAATCAGAATAATGAAAGTACCGTAGGCTATACTTGGGCAGCTGTGTGACGTTGAAACCCTCCCCCTCCCAACATCTTCTTCAAAACAGAGCTCTAAATATAAAATCGCTCGTTTACTTCTTCCCTTATTATCACTCGACCTCAGAAATATTAAACGAATTAAAAGGCACAGCGGTTGTCTTTTTCGGTTGTCTTTCAATACCTCCTCCATTTTTCCTCTGAATGCATAATTAAGTCAGATTGACTGAAAAATATTCTGTGGAGTACTAGAGAGTCAGGAAAAGCACAATAAAGTTCACACGGATTTCTGGCATGACTATTGAGCCGTGCAGATGAGGGGTCATTCCAAGTGCTGTCGGCGCTCTTTCTTGTCGGGTTTGATGTTTTGATAGCTGGTGTTACTTAGGGCATAAGAAGAGGGCTTCAGTTATTTTGTCTACTATAAAAAGAGGGTCGAAGTTTCGAAATCCCCCTCAAAGCGAAAAGCGTGATTACTCGGAGTTCAAACGTTTCGGCTTATCTAGAGGAGCTATTGTGTTGAAGGATATTCAGAATATTTCAGTTCCTGCACACCATGACCAATAAAATCTGAGTTGGACAGCTAGGACACTACTTGCAATGTTATAACTAAAGAACTACTCAAAAAATCTAACTACTTATCGTACATTGTGTCATTTGTTCCAAAACTTTCAGTGGCAAATTTTTTAAACTATACCATGTCGGTATCCTGCCTGTGTTGATAGTGAGGACTTCCCGGGTCCTATCAGTTTCCAGTAGACAGGGGTGGATAGGGTGCATTATGCAGTCCTTAGGTTGTTTTCAAATAAAGTTTTATCACCAAAACTCGGTAAAACTTTGAATGTCAGATCTCATAAAGCAAAAAGCTTATATTATGGTTAGTCAGTACAAACCTTCAATGTGTCCGTCCAAAAAGTCTATCAACGTGCGATGATATAATAAAAGTTACTCCGTAGAAACCCTATCATACATTTTAAACTTCTGTCCCAGTAAAGCGATGAGATAAGCTGTTTTAAAGCCAGAGATCGATGTCATCCGCCCCACACAGAATCAGCAATGCTACGGAAAAAACAAGCTTCCTGAGACTTTAGAAAACAGATGGGTAGCTCGTAACCCAAGTAGGGCGATGTGCTATAATGGCCTCATTAAGAAGGAGCCGTTGCAGCCTGGCCCTCCATCCTGAGATGAGGACCGAGTTATCCAATCAGTTGGCAGAACGTCAGGCCAGGGTTCTAATCGCATCATGGCAATTTAAAAGCAGGTCAGATCGGCAAACTTCTAGGCCACGACGTCTTTCTACATCGACATAAACTGCCATCGCCGCTACCTCCCATCCTGTTCTGTCCACCGCCACCGCCATCACCAACACCACTACCCCCAACCTCACAACCACTACCACGATCACGACGACGACCACCACCACCACCATCACCACCACCACCACCAGCACCACCACAATCACCATCACCACCACCACCACCACCACCACCACCACCACCACCACCACCACCACCACCACCAGCACCAGCACCACCAACACTACCACCAGCGACAGTGTAGACACAGTTGCAACCTCTTACCACTACGACTGCACATCCAAATCTCGCATCGGCCTGATCGGCCAACTACGAGGTTCTTGTTCTTTGACCGTTGAACGAGTTCCTGGAGCCCTTCTCTGTCCACATTGCTCCCAGAACATTCGGTCATCTCCTGGGCCTGTGCTCGTTATATGCGCCTCCACGACGCTGGCTGGTAAAATAGCACAGTCGAGGCTCTCAAAACAACCCAGTCAGCCAGCACCGAAAAACATTCTTAGACTGCATGCAAGGACATTCACTCTTACACGTATGCATGACAACCATCGGCCCTACATTACCATGCGTGCGGTGAAATCTGCCAGCGTATGCATGATGGATGAAACATGGTATGTGCCGAAGTGCACACCTCACTTATGTAATTGTGTGCCAAGAAATCTTGCCGATAATTACTCAATTAGCAATATCTGGCTTAGTTGCTGCTGTCAATCAGATCCTTACCACGACCCTATGCCGCAAGGTTTGAA